AGGAAACTTAAAACACCATTATATCGGTTTGTGTGACGTACTACTAGGAGTCATACTTGTTGTTGCTTGTAGTAGTAGTACTAGTAATAGTAGTACCACTAGACTAGTATTACTACTACTAGTAGTAGTACTACTACTAGTACTAGAAATTAACTACCATCAGCTTCTTTTACACCAGCAGCAAAACAAGAAATAGTAGTAGTAGTACTAGTAGTACTAGTAGCTACTACTACTAGTATTACTATGAACTACCAGTAGTACTACTAGATAGTATGTATCTGTAATAAAGTAATGTATGATTTTCATCTCTCCCGAAAACGTTATTGAGAGTCACAATCAGCGAATGAGATTGCTGAAACATTCGTCATCTGTATCAAAAATGATTATCAGCCAATTACATTGAGCTAGGGGCTGCGAAAGAAAGACCTCCGCGATCGTAGTACACCTACCGGTACAGGTACCGGTACCTGTGAGCGGCATCTTGGACCGTATCGGTATGGTGGAAAAAAGTTGAAGCGAAAGTTTTCTTTCTACCGGCAGTACTTCGCGAACTGGCATAATTTATTTTATCGTGACAGAATTCGCAGTTGAGTAGCATTAAAATACCCTTTTGATCCCCATCGTAGCCTTTTCGCATCTTTTGTTTTTAAATTACGTACGAACACTTACATGGTACGGCGTAGTACCACTCGCTAGGCAATTACCAGAGACAGAGGGCTCTTTGGAAGTTGCGAGCCAATCGTATGGGTTGGTTTGTTTTCCGATGTTGGATTCTGAAAATTCTTGACACCTTGAAGGAAGATCTAACGCATCAACCGCGTCAGTATCGGTTCAAAACATTCCGTTATCATCTCGGGAACTACGATGTACTTGGTACTAAGGCGACGGAACACGGGCATTGACATGGACAACAACTTTTTTATACGCCGTGCTCTCTTTAAGCGTTTTTATTGTACTGTACAACGATACGCCATTCGATCGGAAATCTTTCGATCAACGCTCTCATAATTTTTGAAAAGTCGTTGTTGTCTGTCACAGCAAAACACTCTCTCTTCCATCGCACTTCTGTGTTTTTCAATACTCCCCTTTGTACGTCAAGAACGAGCCTATCCAAACCATGCGTGCTTCGATTTTGTCACTTGTCGCTCTCGTCTCGGCGGCGATGCATTTCCAGGGCTCTGGCGAATTTGTTGGCGCCATTGCTCCTCGCTCTTCCCTTGGTGTTCCTTCGGGCAGCTCTGGCCCCTCCGTGTTTGGAATGCCGCGAGGTGGAGCCTTCGCTGTTTCGACGAAGGGCGCCAAAGTTGCGCCTCCCTCGTCCGAGATCGCGAGGGGTGGACAACAGGCTTCCTCCATCAAGGAAAACATTTTCAAGAGGATCATCAAGAGGAAGATCGATGAGCTCATCGAATCTGGCCAGGCTGGATGGGTGGTATCCTTTGCCCTTTCCATCATCTACCTAGTTTTGTTCTTCCAGGACGGAGGTGCCAGTACCAATGCCTGCACCTACAGCTCGGCTGGCTTCTGTGTTACGAACTTTGACGGGGCCGACTGCCCGATCATGAATTCGCACACCTGGGCTTTCGCTGTGGACATGGTCTTTTTGGTTGCTTGCTTCCTTGTTCCATCGGACAGAACCACACTCTATAAAGCCGCTCTCGCCTTTGGCGCGGTTGGCAGTCACGGTGCCCTTCACGCACTTCTCGGAATTTTTGTGAACTGCACGTCAGATCCATTCCCCGGTGCCGAAACTATTTTTGGCGCGTTCGGAGCCCTTATTTCGTTCCTTATTCTCTTCTCTACCACGGAATTGGACAACATGATAAAGCTTGTGATCAGCGCCGTGTCCGGATACTTGACCGTTCTCCTTTCGGAGGGTGGCGCCGGGGTGTCGTCGATTTTCCTCATCACCCAGCTCCTAGCTTCTGGTGCGGGAATCTTCGACACAGAGGGTAAATTGACGACTCCCCTCATGGGATACACCTTCATCGCTCCCTGCCTCGTGAGCATCATCGAGTTGCTGTTCTGCTGCGATCCGGCCACAGGCGGTCCCGGCCTGTTCAACCAGTACGGCGGCCACGTCTGGTACGACATCGCCCTGCACACTTCTCTCCTTACCTCGTTGCTGCCCAGAAAAGACGAGTAAAGCCAGGATTCGATCCCGATGTGAGTTGAGATGGTGCTGGAATCGATGGTTTCGAGGCGAGCTGCGTGAAACAAAACATATTCAATTGCTAGTAGTAGCCCAAAACAAGGCGAAATCGTGTGAAGTCCTACCGTCAAAACTTGAAACTCGTAAGCATAGTAAACAACACAGTATCGACGTACAACAAATAACCATACCTGTAACAGAAATACGAAATACGTACTTCTATTTTTCATGTAGTTAGTGATTACTGTACTTTATTAGTGACTGGGGCCAGTATTACCAGTATTTAGATCTTGCCATTGACGTACGTACGTCTAAGTATCACCATCATCTATCTTTTACAATTATGCCATTTACTGAAATCGGTCATTATCTCTCTATGACCATGACCGTGTGCATTTCTACAGGTTATGTAGTACAGTACGAAATACTATACTTCGTACTTGTACTCGTAAATGTCAAATATGGTACGAACGTACGTACGATAGATAAGGAGTAAGGATCCACCGTGTCAGAGGTCAAAGGAGGTTTTGAACTATGAGTACCGTAGTACGTACTTACCCTACCGTACTATGTTTTGCTTTTGATTGTTTTTGTGTTTCGTGTTCCTTTGGGTTGCGTTGCGTTCGCGCCAAACTTTTGAAAATTACATCGGGTGTCGTTCCGGCGCGCCCGGCAAGTCGGTCATAGGACGAAGCAGCGGGACTGCTTTTGAGAGAAGTTACGTACGGTATTATGGTACTTGATCTACATGAACCTCCGGTTTGGTTTCTGCACGGTACTTGGTACTGTCCTTTAGTACGAGTGCTACTACTCGTACTCGTGCTCGCGACAGAGCCCGTCCGTACATCACAGTTCCGTGAGGTAAAAATGTACAGCACTGTAACGTCGAAATGCACCATTTTGGTGCCGCACAGATCCAAAGGAAGCAAACGCGACGCAGCATTGCCATTCGCAATACGGAATACGCAATACGCAATACGCAATTCCGTTCCGCACAGGACGACAGGACGAAACTAGCAAAGCCAAGAAAAGCAAGGCAAATCAATCGTGCCATGGCGAGGGGCGGGAGCAAGCCGTTTCCGAAGCGGACCGGCGAGTCCCTGACCCTGGGGTTCGAGAGCGTCCTGGTCGGGGATTCCGGCCGATCGCCCAAGGAATTCCTCGGGGTCGCCGTCGAGGTCGTTCCCGGTGGAAAGGAGCTCTACATCGGGTCCAACTACAAGGTCAAGTGGAAGCACGCAGTCGATCTGAAACTCCTGGGCCGGAACGACGGCGCTGATGTCCAAGACGGCGCCAGCGACAGCGACGGCGAGGGGGAGGAGGGCTTCGAGCTGACCTGCGGCCCCTCGTCCGGGAGCGGCGAGTCCCGCCGCGTCTTTTTGGTCCGTGGCCCCCTCCGGAGCGCGGTTTCCTGGGCGGCCTTCTCGGCAGCCCTCGGGGGGCGCTTCCGCAGGGAGACCCGCCGCCGCAGGCGCAGGCAGGACAAGATCGAGGCAGAGGCCGAGGAGGAGCGCCTGAGGGAGGAGGAGGACCGGAGACAGAGGCTCGCTAGGGGCCGGAGCTACCGGTCGGGCAGGAGCTCCCGGTCCTACTCGAAGCGGCCCTACGACTTTATGCGCAAAAACGCGGCCAACATCGCCCGGAACGCCGAGGCATGGTCCGACGACGAGGAAGAGGAGACCTACGGCCGGCAAGAAGAAGAACCCGAAGTAGAACCACAAGAACCACAAGATCAAGAGCAAGAAATCCCGAGGGACGCTGCACCTCACGGGGGTCCAGACGATGGGAACGAGAGCGGCGAGGAGGAAGAGGAACACGAATTCGGTGGTGAAACTTGCGAAGACGCTGGCACCAGCGACAACCCAGAAGGAACCGAGGCAGATCGATCGGAGACGCCCCGTTCCCCGCCCAGCATTGAGAAAGAAGTAAAAGACGATGGCGACGAAGAAGAAGCCGGTCAGGGCGACGACGACGACGACGACGACGATGAAGACGAAGAAGAACAGGTGGCACCACCTCCTTCCCGGGGCTCCAGAACCACCGGCAGCGCTAGCCATCCGTCTCGCAGCACCAAGCAGCCCAGGCGCAGGCGCAGGGGCCCCGTCCTGGACGATTCCTCGGACGAGGAGGGAGGCAACGGGCAGGGCGAGAGCGAGAGCGACGGTGAGGCTTCCGCAACGGCAACGACGACGACTACCTCGGCAGCGGTCCAGCGGGTGGTGACCCCACCGGTTGGGAACGCAACCGGCTCGAAAAAGAAAGCAAAGCCAAATCCCGCCTCGCTCGAGGCCTTCTTCCGGCCCCGGGCCAGAACCAGCAAGGTGACCCAAGCCAAAGCACGGACAAACGCGGACGCCTCCGAAACAGAAGCCGAAACCGGCACCGCTAAGTCCGAGACCGCGGTTTCCAAACCCACCGGTGGCGGTCCCTCAAGCTCCTTTTTTGCTCCGCGGGGTAATCTGCAAAAGCCCCTGGCACCGAGTACGCCCCCCCGTTCTCCCGGGAACAAGACACCGGTGAGGTCTGAAAAGCAGCGAAACAAGACCCCGAGGCCCGGCCTGCTCGAGAGGGCGGAGGCCTCGGGGGGGAGTCCACCCGGCGACGAAGCAATGGTCTCCTCCGCCAAAAAGACCGCGGCGGCCAAAGACCAAACACCACTGCGGTTCCCGGTCCTTGCTTCCCTCCAGAGCGGGACGCGCTCCGATCCAGATCGCTCGTCGCATAGCGGGGTAGCCCGCGCCGAAACTGAAGCCGAGGCCGAGGACCCCATCGAAGACTTTGGGCCATCGTCGCAGTCGCCCAGATCGAAGCGGCCCCTCTTCTCGCCTTCCGGAAGCCGCGGGTCTACGGCCTTGCGGATCAAACGCCGGCGGCTGCGGCTGAGGGGGGCCTCCAAGAGCGCCCTCGAGGCCCTCGATTTTGCCGATGCCAAGACGGTACGGTCCCCCCTCCAACCCCAGCGGCTGGGCCAAAGGGTCGAGGAGGCCGCCGGTTCCTCCGGCGGGCATTCCCTGTGGAGGGGCCTCCGGAACGACGGAAACTCCTGCTACGTCAACGCATCGCTCCAGCAGCTCTTCTCGGTGCCAGCCTTTATGGAGGCCCTGGCGGCCAGGACGAGGGGAAAAGGGGGCAGCAGCGGGGACGGACTGACGCTGACCACCGCGCTCGTGGACCTCTACCGCGACCTCTTCGGAGGGAGCCCCCGCACCGATTCCCCGGCGCCCTTGGCTTCCGCCTCGGCCGGGAGGGTCAAGGCCGCCGTGGACCGTCTGACGGACCGCTTTAGGGGGTGCCAGCAGCGGGACGCCCACGAGTTCCTCGGGGAGCTCATCGATCGGGTCCACGACGAGCTGGTGGGAGCGGCGGGAGGGGAAGAAGGAGAGAACCAGCCCATCGAGCCCACGGACGAGTTCTTTCGCTGGAACGTCAAGGTCTGCCTGGAGTGCAAGCACTGTGGCTATTCCCGGTACGTACCACTGCCACCAACAAGGACCGCCGGCTTTTGAGTTGTGTGTGTGTGTGTGTGTGTGTGTGTGTGTGTGTGTGTGTGTGTTTTGTTTTTGTTTTTTTGCAGTGGTTCTTTGTGTCGCATTCGTCGCCGCGGATCGTTGAGCTCACTCTGTGCTTGGTTGTCGTCCCACCTCCGAAACACTTCATCCAGCTCGAAAGAGGAGATGCACCGGTACCTGTCGATCGACATCGATCACGGGTCTGCCGATTCCGGGCCGGCGGTTGGAGCGTGCCTGGCGAGGTTTTTTAGCCCCGAGGACCGCGAGATCGACTGCGAGAAATGCAAGATCGGCAAAACCGCGACGCAGACCATGGAGGTCCTCTCCCCGCCCAGGGTCGTCCTCCTCCATCTCAAGCGCTTTCTCGTGGAGGAACGGGCCAAGGGGGGCAGTGGTCCGCCCGGGCTGGTCTTTCGAAAAAACAGGGCCCCTGTGGAGCTGGCCGAGGCACTGGACATCGAAGCGGTGCGGGGCGACCTAACGAAAAGCGACCGTGACAACGACAACGACAAGCCCAGCGATGGGCCCGCCACCACCCAGAGGCACCGCTATTCGCTCCGGTCCGTCGTCCACCACATCGGGAGCACCTCCGTCTCGGGCCACTACACGGCGGACGCGCTGCGGAAGGACCCCCTCAGCGGGGAGGACCGGTGGGTCTCCTACGACGACGGGGCCACGGCCGAGACGAAGCAGGGGGTGGTGGTCGGGTCCTCCAGCAACCAAAAGACCGCCTACATGCTATTGTACGCTTCGGCCCCGAGCGGGGCGGCGGGCCCGTAGGCGGCTTGTGCCGGATACCTGTGCCCCAGCCACCGGTGGCCCTTGCGGGGGTGCTGCCAGAAGTGCGAGAAAGCAATAATGGTCTCGAGTCGACACAGCGATCCCAAACTAGCCAGCTCTACAACTACGTGGAAGGCATTGATAAATATAATAGGAAACAACTGCAATCAAAACACGTTTACGTTTTTTAAGGGCTTGATGCGACGGTCCGAAACGGATCGCAGCAAGCAGCGCACGGACTTCCAGCGGGTGCCGCAGAACGGACTCCCCGGGCTCTCGGTTGTGCGCCGGCGGCCCGTCCGTCCAATGCATGCATGCGTTGCTCTGGAGGATGCCGTGTTTGGTGAGCAGGCCGGGATCGATCGATCGATCGATCCCGTCCGGTCGTTCCTGCATTGCACCGGACCCGTCGGTAGATCCGGGGCCCTGCCGGGAGACGACACCCGGCACGGGCCATCGCTGTCCCTCCGCCGGTTCCGTTCCCGGAGTGAGTCGTTGCGGGGGCGCGTTTTTGCCGTGGATTCTCTTCCGCAGTGGCTGGGAGCATAGCAGGAGGTCGCCACCCGCCGTTGCGTTGCACCGTGGAACCAACCGTCCGACCCGACCCGCCGGGACGCGACGCGACGACGCGGTGGTTTGGTCCGTGGTGGTTCGGTTCGGTTCGGGGGAACAAGCATTCTCCCGCGGTCGCGATACGTACTCGTACCTTCTCGGTGGCAGTTTTGGGAACCCCTGCGAGGTACGGTGTGGCATCGCAGTGTCTGCACTGTACCGAACTCGTATGTACGTACTCGTTCGTACCTGCTCGTCCTTTCGATTCTTCCGCATTGATGGGTTTCTGGGTTCCGTGCAAAAGAACTTTTTCAAAATCGACATCACTCAGCCGGCGGACGCGTCTTCCGCGACCGAAGCAGCTGAATCTTCAGCTGCGATCGAACTCTGTCGGGTTCTCCCGATATTTTTTTCGTTTGCAAACCTCGTAGGAAATGTATGGATTTACTGATTGCCTCCCGAGAGCTCCTTTTTCGATAAAAGTTTGTTTCGTGAATGGGAAAAACACGTAAGCAGCTTTCCACAAAAAAGAACCAATGGGATGACAGAAAATTCGCGAACGTCAAAAATCAATCACACCTCTTCACCACCAAAAATCGCTGTCAACTCAGCTCATCATCGCGAACAGAAGAACCAAAGTTACTTCGGACTCGTACCGGTACGAGTACTTACTTCTCTCCGAAGGAAAAGAGCAATCCATCAGCAATCACAAACCCATACATTCGTCGTCGCTGAAATATCGGCAGCTGCTTCCAACGCTCATTGTTGTCAAAAGACACATAGCAATAGCTAAGAAGGCCATCGAGAACGATTGTCGTCGCCGCAGACCAAAGACACGGTTTCCTCGAAGAAACCTACCAACCACACCACACCACACCACAAAGGAAGCATGCTGTCGCTGGCCTCCCTCGGTCGCTCCCTGGCGCAAACCAGCAAGACACCGGCGGTGCAACGCTGCCTCTCCCGCCGCGCCGCGTCCGGGCTCTGCGGGCTGCCGGACGAAAGGGATTCGCACTGGCGTTTGCGCTCGGGCTCGGAGGCCGCGAGCTCGCAGGAAGACGGGACGGCCCAGGGATCCCCGGGGTTGGCGAACCCGGGGGATTCCCTCGCGGACCACCCCTTTTACGACCAGACGGCGGCCGCCGAGCAGATGATCTACACCATGGAGAACTCGTACTACTTTGCCTCGTACAAGGCCGGGAGCGGCAAGGAGGGACTGGGCAGCTGCTAGCCGCGCGAACGGCGGGAAAGGGAAGGCGAGGCAAACCAAACCATACCATACCATACCATACCAATCGACCAATCGAACGGGACCAACTCTGGGACATTGCGGCCAAACGATGTGCCCGGAGAGAACGAAACGAAGAATGCGGCACGAGGGACCGTGTACTTCGTTTCGACGGATCGACCTGGTTTCCGAACGGGCTGGCGCGTGTCCATGGTCGAAACCGGTCACATCACAGAGGAATACTCTCCGAAATTGAGAATGTGCTCGGGTGCACATTCAATGCCTATAATACCCCCGGAACGATACTCTGTTGTGTTCTTTTGTGCTTGTTCAAAGAACGCAACGAAAACAACAACTACTGTACGATAATCATAAAACTCACAACGACACGGCAGTTCTTGATGTGTATGCATTGTGTGCCCCCGCTAGCTTTACCCTATGTACTATCCGACTCTGCGATCGTCGCACTCGGGCGAACCGGTGTGTTTACTCCCCGACCAGTTCGTACATGATCATGTAGGCGGTCTGGGAGGCGTCCTCGACGGCCTCCTTCGACGAGATCTTGGTCACGTAGCAATCGTTGAACCTCGTCCACTGCCGGTGGCCGTCGGTCTCGCGTTCGCTCTCGCCGCCACCCCCGGCCCTTGGTGCTCCCCCCCCTTCGCGGGCATCGTGCCACGGCCCGATCGTCCGCAAGGCGTCCGCCGTGTAGTGCCCGCAGTTCACCGACGACCCGATGTGGTTCACGACGCTCCTGAGCTCGTAGGAGGCCTCCCCTTGGCAGAGGCAGTCGTACGCCAGGAACCTGCCGAGCCCGGCCTCGTCGTCGTCGTCGTCGTCGCAGGAATGGCGATCGCTCTTCCGCTCGCGAGAGGCCCCGAGGTCGATCCGCTCGTCGAAGGAAACCGGCGAGTGGTCCTTCCGGTACGAGACCGAGGTGTAGTCCGGGCTGACGTCGACGATGAAGCGTTTCAGGTGGAAGAGCAGGTTCCGCGGGAGCTGCGTGATTTCTGTGGTCTGGATGGCGCTCGTGTGGAAGCATTTTTCGCACTTGATCTCTCTCTTTTCGGGTGCAAAGAACTTCCGGAGCCCGTCGTCGATGCTGCCGGTCGAGAGGGGTCCAAAGCCGCCGATACCATCGTCGTCGCTCGAGTCGTTGCTGATTTCCAGGGACAGGTGCAGGTAGGTCTCGATGTGGCTTCTGCGAAACTTGCAAGACTCGCAGGTAAGACAGACCCGGACCTTGGTGGTAAAGTTCGACGTAACGGGAGAAAACGCTTCTTCCTCCTCCTCCTCGTCGAAGCGTTCGTCTTCGACGACTTGTTGCTCCGGAGTCGCCTTGCTGAGACTAGCATCGGTATGCTGAACGTCCTCCTCGTCTTCCACCAAGCCGGTCAGCTCCACCCCAACCATGTTCATTCTTCCCCCCGCGAGCTTGCATTTCGGCTCTTCTATCCTAGAGGTTGGTTTTTCGGGATGGGACGAGTGATCGGGTGTTCCCGTCTCCGAAGACTCCTTTTCTTGGCCGTTCAGCAGACCTTCGATGTCAGAGAACTTGAATTCGCTGAAGGATTTTGACTTTGGAATCAGAGTGTCGGTGTCGGTGTCGTTGCTCTCCTCGGGATTCCGCAAGTCTTTCGCGATTTCTGAATCGACCGAGCCGTGGTCTTCTATCACTTTTTGTCTCTTGAAAGGGGAATCCTGCGGTTGCCAGTCCTGGTCGCCGCTGTTGTTGTTTTCGTTACAGTGGATGCTACTTTCGGCCATGCTCGCGACGTCCTCGTTGGGTGGCGGTTTCTCGCCATAAACTTCAGCAATCGCAAAATTTTCGTAATCTTCCTCTCTGGGTTCTAGACTTCCTTCGTCGGCATTCAAAACAAAGTCGCTGCTTTTTAGCGATCCCGTATCTTCCTCTTCCTCGGAAATCGTTATTGAGCCCGTCGAATCTTCGTCTTCCCGTCTCGATTGCACACTTCCCTCGTCCATGCTAGAAACGACGTCCTTGTCACAATCACCGGATTCGGCCACCGCTTCCCTCTCGTCGTCTTCCACCACTATTGTTGCAGAGGATGTTGCTGGCTCGCTCTCCTCTTTTTCTTCTTCCTCGATCTTGTCCGCTTTTGGCTTTGCCTTGTATTCTTCGTCGATCACGTCTAGTAACTTGGTGAGAAACTCGTGCGCGTCCTGCTGGTGGTAGCCCAGAAACAGGCTCGTCCGAGAGTCGACACACCGCTTGAGCTTGTCGGGCCGAACCGTTTCTCCCTTTTCGAGCCTGTCCATCGTGTCGATCAGAGCACCCCGTAGCGAATTGTTGCTTAGCTGCGGCAACAGACGTTGCTGCTGCGACGTTGATTCGGGATCGCCATCGTCCTTGGACTCTTCGTTGCCGACGTCCCGGGGCAGCATCCTGGCCCTCAACTCGGACGGGAAACTGTCCAGCGCGCACAAGAGTTGTATGGCACTCGCCATGTAGCACGTGTTGCCGAGGTTTTCCAGGCCTCCGTACGGAGATTCTCTGGGCGGAGGGGAAACAGCAACGGCGGCGGGAACGATTTCGTCGGTGGGCGTTGGTTCGTCTTTGGTTCTTTCGATTTCCTCCATCGAGACAACGTCGTCGCATTGAGGGTCGGGCGACGTTTCCATTGCCACTATCGCCGCCTCGACGATTGGCAGCGAATCGCCGCCATCGCCGATGCCCTCTTCCCGGGGCGGGGGAAGAGGAGAACGATCCGGGGCAGCGCAGGACGAGGCAATCGCCACACCGCCCCCATCCGGATCGATCGGGAGGGCATCTCCGTCGCTCGTTTCGAGAGCATCGATTGCTTTCTCCTCCGTCGAGGACCCGGCCTCGTTTTCGATTCCCACAACTTCGCCAATCTCGATCCGCTTGCACGGGTCAACGTCTTGGCCGTCGTCCGTATCGCTTGAACCGGATTGGTTCTTGTTACAGCTGCTGTCGCCGTTGTTGTTGTTGCAGTTGCTGGGTTCATCGACGTCGCCCGCGTTCACGTTGCAAGCGTCGCGCATGACATCGTCTCCGCAGCCCGCGATGGCATTCTCGACAACGTCAGTCTTCGGAACGAGGGCACATTGTTTGGTTTGTTCGTTCTCTTGGTCTGGGTGTTGCAGACTCTGCGCTTCCTTCTCTTCCTCGTTTTGGCAATTTACGCTGTAGTAATCGATCTCTTTTTGAATCCTGAGCACCGCCGCCATCTTTTTTGCTTATTGCTCCTTTGTTGTGTTGTTGGTCGGTTGGTTTCTTCTGTTGCTACTGGTAGTATCGTGTGCTGTGTGTCTGGAAAGTTCGTTCTGTATTGAGTACTGGGGACCGTAATCAGTAGTTAGACCTCACAGTACTAGTAGGTAGTTGTAGTATTCAAGATACGCAGTTTTTGAAGTTGCGGCTATTCAAAACCGATGGTAGAGTGCTGTACATACTTTACGGCTTCACGGTAACAACGGCTCATTCGTGGAAGCACGCTGCATACGACGACCATGACCACTATCTCTGCGACGATTTTTTAGGTTCCGAAGGGGGAAAAAAGACTTGAGCAAGTCATCGTGCACTGGGTCTCCTCTAGGTTTTCCTCTCGATCACCGTGGTTTTTGCAGTTTCACCCTCCGTCTTATGCCCCGACCTCACGTGGTGAAAAAAAAAAGAGGATCAGAGAGAGTTTTTTAGTCGTGTCGTTCTGTCGGTGCCACTTACTAGGGCACAAGACTTCGCGGTTGGGAGCAATTCAGCATGATCGGTAATCGTACCTCCGTTGGGGTAAGAGATTACCATACGGTACGTACCCGGTGCGGTACTCTTACGAGTTACGAGCGTTCGTACTTCGTACCCGAAGTACGTAGGGTACGTAATCCATTTTTTCGTCCCAAAGCGTTCCGCCGCCGTGCGCGACTGGTCTGTCCATACGACGAAAAGCGTTCTCGTAAGGCGGAAAATATCTCTTGACTGCCAAAGATCCAGTCACGGGAGAGGTATTCGTACGTGTGGTAGATGGTAGGTAGTAGGTACTCAGTGGAATCGTACATACAGTAAGTACATACCTGGCGTTCTCTACTGTAGGAATGTGGTTTAAAACGCGACTGAAAAAACTGTTGAAGCGGTTATGGAATCCGCCAGCCGACATTTAAAAACACATAATTTTTGTCGTACTTGTACGGTAATTCCTAATACAGTTGTTCACATCTCCCTCCCATGTCAATATATATTTATTTATGAATGAATACATTTAATTTTCAAATCGTTACTCGCCGTTTTGATTTGCTTGTGTATTCTCAAATGAATTTAAGCCTTCGCATAAGTAATTTTTGAATGCATACCGAGCACGGTGATAATCCGAATTTCGATACGCAGAAAAACAAGTGGATAGGGAAGCACCCACCATAAAAGATAACAAATACCGGTATTTTAAGTAGCCGTCGCCAAACCCAAGGGTAGGTGCACTACAGTTCCATAACTGCCAGTATTGGTAGACCTCCCAGTGTAATTCATTACCATCGGAACGAGAGAACGAAGAATCAATCAATTCATGCGCAGAGAACAAACACGATCGATCGTTGCATTCGCGTCAAGTGTTGTGAATACAAAAAACAAGCGCTCCCGTACTTCCGCACAATACCAAAGCATTAATTCTTTTCCGTCTTTCGTCAAAAAGAAGCGTGCAATACACAACCGTATTTTGCATGCACCCTGCCGTTCAGTTCAGCGAGGAAGGAACATTGTGTGTAAAAGCAAATACATACAATAAAACAAAACCATCTCCAGACACCATCGGGAAAGCGACATCTGATCTGATTGCTACGGTTCACTTTCTAGTCAAAAAATAAGTTAAGGTTCTAGCAAAAGACAACAACAAGCATACAAAGATGCTTTATGTCCGGAAAATCGCTTTGCTCTCCGCTCTCTACGGGGGAGCAAGAGCAGATGATTTCAACTATAGATCCACCCAGGGAGATAATTACGGTCCGAACGACTGGAACAAAGTCCGATGTGGCAATCTCGAAACTTGCGTAAGTAGGGGGGGAGGAATCGGACGACATCTGATTGTTGCATCCACTGGTACAGCAGCAGATCGTCACAGTGGGTTAGGATCCTAGCGTGCACTTCAATCTAACCGGAGCTGACCTTTTTGCAAACTACCCCTGTCTCGACAATCGCATACCAGGATGGTTGGCCAGACAAGCACGAAAGTTCCATCGGATGGGAGCTCGAAGACAATCAATGCAGATGGTGCCCCGAGACTGGGAATCAGTGTCCTCAGAATCACCGAATGTCGCCCGTGAACCTCGTTCGTGATCGAGCTATCGAGGACAATCCCAACTGGAAAGACTGTCCGGATTGGCACTGGTACGTACCCCAGAATAGAACTCCCCGTCAGAACAAGATTGAAGTCACGAGCTGTTCTCTGACTATTTTTTCCATCTATCTTTGATTGAATAGGATGAACTTCGAAGACGGTTCATGTCAATGGGAAGACATGGAGGATAGCTTTGAGATTTCGAAGCATGCACTTCAAATCCACACACCTATGAGAAGCAATGGAGATATTAACTGCGCAAATTCCGAAGGTGAGCGTCTCTATCCCAGGTTGGATTATAGTAAAGGCTTCCCCGATTGGTGGCATCTTGATAGGACCGATATTAAGACACCTAGTGAGCACACTCAGCATGGGAAAAGGTACGCAGCAGAGGTAACTCTTGCTCATTTCTATGAATTAGATCATTGGAAGAATCAGATTGGATACGTCACATTCTTCATGGAAGATTATCCAAACCAGGAGCCATGGCACTATTTGGACAAGCTGATTTGCAAGTTCCGACGCGAAGAAGAGAAGCAGCGCAAAGCATGCGGTCTGCCACCGGCACCTGTTTATAAAATGTGTGAGCTATATCGTGGCCAAGAACGCACGGCAGAGGATTTCGAATTCTTCGAAGAAACCGTTGAGACTCCAACATCGAATGATGGCCAAATGAACCGTCCAAATGCTATTCCGCTTGAAAACTTTGGAGAAAATCCTGATGCGAAACGTTTTCCTTTGCAACTCTGCCAGGGTGATTGCGACTTCAGCGAGGACTGTGCCCCAGGATTGATTTGTCATCGACGCGATGCAAATGAACCAGTTCCCGGCTGCATCGGTGGAGAGGATGATAACACTGGTTCCGATTTCTGTGTATTTGACCCCTTCGGTGCCGGATACAACGTTCCAACAGAGAAACCTACTAATGCTCCGACGAAGACAGTCAGTCCGACCATTACTCCTCTTCCTCCAATCCAAGCCGTAGACTTTGGTGGAGATCCCCCAGCCGATGCATTTCCTCTCCAAAGATGCCAAGGAGATTGCGATAGTGATGATGACTGCGCTCAAGGTTTGATTTGCTTTCAGCGAACTTCTAATCAGGCCATTCCTGGGTGCATTGGGGGTGAAGCCGATTCGTTGATGACGGACTATTGCATCGTGGACCCTCGCGGCGACGGTTACAAAGACCAAGGAACTCCTCCTCCTTTGAAGAATACCGTGACTCCAGTTGCAGTTCCTACTGCTTCTCCTGTGGCTAGCAAGCCGCCAACTAATATTCCGACTACTGCCCCAACTTCAAGAGCTCCGGTGCCGCTCGTCCCACGCCCTACGGGAACTCCCAAAAACTTGGTGAACCGTGGGTGGGAACCAAACTTTTTGCTTGACGAGTGCGAAGGTGATTGTGACAACGACAGTGACTGCTTGCCAGGTCTTATTTGCTTCAGTAGAGAAACAGCTGGAGTAGCTGTTCCCGGATGTACCGGCGGAGAGGACGACACTACTTTGACCGATTACTGTTCCTATCCTCCATTGGATCCAAATGACATTATCGAGCAGGATATTGAAATTGTCATCACTCGTTCTGATACAGAATCACCAACGAACCCACCAACGAAAGAGCCTACAAATTCTCCAGTGGCTGCTACAGATACAGAAGCAACTGAGTCAGACGATGAACCTGTTATACAAGTGAATGGGATCTCGTGGAGTCCTCCAAAGGAGCGCCTGCCTTTACAGCTCTGTGAGGGCGATTGCGATGTCGATGATGACTGTGGCTCTGGTCTTGTATGCTTTCAGCGTTTTACTCCACGAACACCCGTTCCGGGATGCGCTGGTGGGGAGCTAGACACTTCACTTATGGACTATTGTGTGACTGATACACGTAACACTACGACCCCAGCACTTGTTATCGAGGCAAAAAATCCAGTTCCAGCTGTGCCATCCCGGCCTGCTCCGGCTCCAGTCAGTATTGTTCCGATCTCTGAAACTCAGTTGGTTTCGAGTAGAAGTGATGTGCCACCACCTGTCGATTGCGGTAAATATGGTGGGGTGAATATGAATCGATTTTGCGACAATGACCACAAGGATATGTGTTGCAAAGTTCCGCGATCTAACAGCAACTACTGTCACCAAAATTACGGTATTTTTGGAGATGATATCTATTCGGTATGTCATCATTGTTGTCTTGAGGTTCGTCAAGAATCTTATGCTGTAGGAGAACCGAATAAGCCAAAAGATGGGCTTGAACCATACACAAACGAAATGTGTTCTGAGCTTGACAATTCGGCCAGAATCTGTAAGGATGAAAGTTGCTGCGATCCAGCCTTTGCAAATACAAAATATTGCAAAGAACAAATAGATGAGAATGCTGGAAATTGGGAGCGGATATGCCATTATTGTTGCCATCCTTCTAAAGAATTCAGCACTAGCAGATTATTATTAGAATCTGCTGCTGATCCTGAACTTAAAGCCATGACTAAAGAAGAGATGAGGCTATGGCACAAAGAGAATCCTAAAGATCTTGGCCCGAATGACGTGAAGTTCAACCCGATGGATCGCAAGTTGATCGTTCGAGAAGAAAACTTCGTAAAGAAGGGCTTGAAGGACGAAGATGCATACTTTCGGGAGCTCCACAGTGCGTTCCAACGGCGACAGCTCCAAACTTCTTTTAAGGAGAATTACGAAGATGTCCATTGGTGGCCATATGAGTGGCTTCTCAAGGTTGGAACGGAATACTATTACCGATACGAGGGGTCGATGACAGTCCCTCCTTGCTACACAGTGAATCACTGGCGCGTGATGAAGGATCCAATCCGAGTAGCGAAGCACCAAATCACAGAACTGGAACGATTACTTTCGTGGCGCATAAACGGCAAATGCGAGGCGTCTACTGCAGGAAAGAAACGCAATGATAACCCCGACGCCGTCAATGTAAACCGTCCTCTCCAAGAATTGCAGAAAGGACATCGAATGGTCTTTTGCGAATGTCAGGATTGGCCATCAAAGTTCCCACAGGAACGAGCATGGTGCGAAAAGTGGCAACAACGAGATCCCGAGCTACGTCTATTTGAAAACCCTTACAACTGGAAGCAACAAGGATTCTAAGAGAGATGGAGAAGACACTCTTCGCCTGCGTTCTCTCTATTTTGTAGTTTAGTTTTATATCATTTCACTCCTATTCAAAGAAAATCACTATCATTTGAAACTCTCGCAATATCTACGAAGAAATAATAGATGCATTGTTCTAGTACTGTGTTCCCCGTCAAGTAGTAGTACTGATGTAGAGTACCGTACAGCAGTAATATGAATAGTAGAAGTTAAAGCAACTAAATAATGCCCCTTTCGTAGTCGTATGGATACAATGTACAGAGCATAATAGGCATTACGCACTTCTTTAGTGGGCTAACCAAGATTGAAGATCTTCGTGTTCGTCTCTCCACTTTTCGTCCGTCCCAAATCACAACTCGGTTGTTGTCAACACAATTATTGCTCGCCGTTGACATCAACAAGCTTTTGATGCCGTGACCGTACGGAAACGGTTGGTCGCGTTGCACCCTGTTTGCAGTTGGAATATAAGGCAGTGCAGATTCAATTGTAATTAAATGCAATTCTCATTAGAATCGGCATTCTCTATCTTAGTGAATAGACGATAGAAAAATAAAGAGTTCGCCGCGGAGCGAGTTTTTCGAATCGATCACATCTTTGACCGTGGAAACTTCCCGCAAGCAGCAACCAGCATCGACACAGTCACCGTCGACATCGTCACCGACTACTTTGATTGTCAAATTAGAAATACGTTGAATCTGAACAGGGAACTTTCATCGCCACCGTTAAGAATGCCGTGGTCCTTGTCCTCGTCCTTTGTGGCTCGGACGATCCTCTCCCAATGGATTGTGTTCTGGTGCACCTCACTACTATATCTGGATCCGACGAAGTGTGGTTGCTCCCTTGCATATTCACCGAGCTTTTATTCTCCCATTCGATGCAGTAGAAGGGGTGCATTTGGAGGTGATCAAATAGTCCCTTCGCAGCAACGATTTCGAAAACAGGCCCACCGGTCGAGGTCGGCACTGTTGTTGGCTGCTAACAAGAAAACTCCGAGAGACGACAACGAAAGCGACGATCAAGGTTCATCATCAAAGAGGGACAGCAGCAATCCAAAAAAGAAGAATAGAAAAAACAATAAGTCGGGGAAAAAATGGATGTTTCGTAAGCGGAAGGGCAACGAGGATGACGAGGACGACAAAGATTGCGACAGTGACAGTGACTGGAACAGCAATTTAGAAGGATCAGATCAATTACTCAACACAAACCCAGATAACAAACCAGACAGAGCTGATGCAAGCAGTCTCTCCGACGAAATCTCTTCCACAAATGCAAGTCACAAAGATGTTGACGACCATCAAACTGAACTGAGATCCGAAGAGCAAACAACACACGAAGGTCAGGATAACTCATCGATAACGCCTAACGATCAAGAAGACGATTCAATAACTATTGCGGAGGACAACAAGGTGGAAGAACAAAACACACGCGATGTTACATCCGAAAGAGGAAAAGTTGACGAAGATCCAGAGTTAGTGACTAACGCTGAAACGAAGAAGAAAGCGGAAATCGATGAGACAGAAAGAAAAACCAGCAGATTTGGGTTCTTTGGGTTTCGGGAAAGGAAGAAGAAAGCTACTGATGTTGACGACAAGAATACGACCGTTGCATCAATAGCAGACTTGGATTCGAAAAACCTGGAGAAGGCATCTGAGCTGATCGTAGGCTTCAATCCCCCCGGACCGCCCCGAAATGCCACAACGAATGCAGACGGGAGAGAGGACGATTCCGTTGCAAAAAAAAACAAGAAGAACAGCGGCGGTGCTCTGGGAAAGATAACCCGAACGCTTACGTTGCTGCTTGCCGTGATGCTCTATCCGATTGTTGCGGACGAAGTCGGGGACCACATCATCGTTAGTTCTTCGTCACCAGCCGTACCCCGGACGCGATCCTTGGGAAGAGAGCAAGACGGGGAAGGTACACCCGAATCGGGCAACGACGACATCGGTGAAGGCAAAAAGTTTGAAGCGGCAGAAAAGGGCAGCGGCCATGACCCGGACGCTGGAAGTACGAGTCGCGAAGGTGGAGTCGGCGACGAAGCATGGAAGGACAAAATGCCACCGCCTCCGCGGCAACGTACCTACGCCAGCAGCAACAGCAACAACAATAAGAACAACGGCCCCGGTTATTCCTTGAACGACCGGCGCAAGATGGCGCTGTCATTTATTTCGGAAGTCGTCGAACAAGTCGGTCCAGCCGTGGTTCGAATCGATACCGAATCCCAGGTGAACAATAGAGGGGGGTACAGCAACTACGATTCGAACTTTGTGCAACAGGGCCAGGGATCTGGTCTGATCTTTTCGTCCGAAGGCTTTATTCTGACCAATGCACACGTTGTCGAAAGTGCCACCAAAGTCAAAGGTAAGAAGATGCGAATCGGCAAAAACCACAGTGCAATGCAACGGGGCTCTTTCCTCTTGGAACCGAACGCAAAAATTCTTTTGCCGTAGAAGGACTTCCTTTCTCATTTGCAGTGTCTCTTCGTTCCAAACCACCCGTTCCTGTTTCGCGAGAGCAGTCACCCTGACCGATGGAAGAGTCTATCGGTGCACCGTCACGGGGACGGACGACATCGTAGACATTGCCGTCCTGAAAATCCTGTCGGAAGACGGTCCCCCAGTGGCGAACCTGCCGGTGGCGGAGTTTGGAAACAGCGACGAGCTAAGGGTTGGAAAAATCGTCGTTGCCGTGGGCAGCCCCGGGGGCCTGGACAACACGGTCACGATGGGCATCGTGTCCGGGCGGGAGCGGTCCTCCATGATGGTGGGAATCCCCCACAAGCTCGTGAACTACATACAGACGGACGCGGCCATCAATCCTGGAAATTCCGGTAGGTGACGGTGTCGTTGCCTCAGGCTCCGTGCAGGCCGGTGTCCCATCGACCCGCGGCGGTCTCTTTGCACGGTGTTTCTCACCTTCCTTTCTTGCTTTGGTGTGTGTGTGTGTGTGTGTTTTTTTTTCCTTCCTTTTCGAACCAACAGGCGGGCCCCTGATCGACGTGGAGAGCGGCACGGTCATTGGCATCAACGCGGCGATCCGGGCCCACATGGAGGGAACCAGCTTTGCCATTCCCATCAACCGGGTCCGGGACATCCTGGGCGACCTGTCCGACGGAAAGGAGATCAAGCACGGGTACATCGGCTGCCAGCTCACCACCTGCACCCCCGACTGGGCCCGGGAGAACAACGCCAAGGCCGGCGGAGCGGACCAGGGCGGGGCCGGAAGCGGCAAGGGGAGGCCGGCCTCCATCCCCGAGGTCTACGGGGCGCTGGTGCACAAGATCTACGGAAAGTCCCCGGTGCACCTGGGCGGCCTGCGGGAGCAGGACGTCATCCAGAGGATCGGGTCCGAGCCGGTCCTGTCCGCGGGCGACGCGAGCCGGCTGATCGACCTGGCGGTGCCCGGGGAGAGCGTTCCCTTCACGGTCCTCCGCAACGGGCGCGTGAGGGTCATCAGCGTCCGGCCCAAGGACATGTCGAGCACCCAGCGGGAGATGCAGCGGGAGAAGCAGCGGCGGCTCCAGGACGAGAAGCGCCGGTTCCAGGAGCTCGGGCCCTTTCGGTCCCTGCTGCGGGACTGAAGCGGCGAGCGGGGAAATACATCCGGTCCGGGCCGACCGGACCCCCCGGGCGTGGCGTGGCGTGGCGTGTTCGACGAGCGGTGCGACTGGTGTTGGTGCCAAACGTCCGGGACGCCAATGCGCCGGTGTCGTTTCGCTTCGTTTCGTTTCCTAATGCGAACTACTAGCTATAACTACTAACTATTCTACTAGCTTTTACTAGACATACTACTAGTTATACTACTAGCTAGAGGTTTGCAGTACCCATGTCGACGACTCGGTCATGTTGCCCGGTGGTTTGCAATGGTTCGTTTCGGGCGTTCCCGGTCCTCAAAAGGTCCTCGCCAGAATCTCCCGGATGGTCTCCGAGGTGATGACCTTGTTGTCCCGCTTCTTGGCCTCGGCCTGCAGGATCGCCTTGAGCTTGTCCTTTTTTTCCTTGATGGCCTCCGCGATCGCCGCCTGCCTCGCCGCCGGGACGGCCCTCCAGGCCTCCTTGTTCCTCTCGAGGGCCCCCAGGAGCAGGTCGTTGAGCTGGTCGTCCAGCTGGTCGTCGTTGTAGTAAAAGACCTCCTCCTCGGGCTTGGCGCTGGCCTTGCCGCTTCCGACCCTGCGGTAGGGCATCCTTCGGACGGCCCCCGGGTTGGCCTCCCAGTCCCCGCTGTTGGCGTCGGTCGAGGCGGCCAGGACGTCCCGGCCCAGAAAGACGACGTCCTCCTTGCTGGGCTCGGGAAAGCCCAGGTCGGGCCGGGCCTCGTAGCAGAGGGTCCGGACGGCCACCGAGTCGGTGGTCTTCCCGTCGTATTCCATAAGGGTGGCCCTCCACCAGTGGACGGAGACCTCCGGCCCGCCCCCGTCTCGGCCTTGGTCTTCGCCGTGGTCTTGGTCTTGGCCTTCGTCCCTGTGGATCTCCCACTGGACCTCGATCTCGTCGCCGGCCTCCAGGCCCAGCGTCCTTGCCAGGTCCGGGATCTCTTCTTCGGTTTCCGCTGAAGATCCCTGCTTCGGCGCTTCTTTCGATGGCGGGGAGGATGGCCCGGCGTCCGGGGACGATCCTTCCGCCGTGGGGGTCACGACGGGGCGAACACTTTCCCCGGGCGGTGCAGCGGTCGAGGGGCCCGGCTCCGGTCTGGGGCGCTTGCTTCCCCGCGCATCCTTCTCCGCGGGGGGAGGCGGGTCTTGCCGGACAAGCCGTGGTGCCTCGGGGTCCGCCATGGTCGAAAGGGTGGAGCGGATCGGATAAAATCGTTTTGGATCGGATAAAATGGGGTGGATCGATTGCCCTTGCCTTGTCTCTGTCTTGCCTGCCTTGTCTCTGTTTTTGCCTTGCCTTCTTTTGTTGCTTCCTTGTTTGCTGCTTTTTCTGTTCTAGCTCGCCTTCTTGCTTGCCTTCTCGGTCGTGCGACGCTCGACTCGGACTCCGTGGGGCCGGGATGCGATTCGTTTGGTGGTGCTGTTTCGGAAACGAGGGTGCCGCTGGAGGGGTCCACGGAAGAAGAAAAAGAGGAGCCCGCTACGAGTTCCGTTCGATGCCGTACCGTACCGTACAATACTCGTACCAGTGCGTACAGTACTGCTGCTAGCATTCGTGTCAGCGACGGCAAGCATTGGGCAGAGAACAAGCACTGGCATCGCGATGCTTCCGGGCAAGGATCGATCGCACCGTACGGTTCCAACGTTAGGGTGCGGCAGCGCGATTACGAGTAGAATTCAATCCGTACTACGGTACCGTAGACGGTTCTTCGTTGTTGTGCTTGCCGTGTACGTAGTGTTCTACGAGAGCGAGGTCAGAACGTACGTACCGTGTGTAGACTACGGTACGATACGTTGAAAAAGCAAAATGGGTTCCGAGCGTTTGTGCCTGCTTTGCTTTCGCGCCAAAAATAGGGTTTAGGGAACCGAAACATGGATCTCGCGACTTTTTTCGTGGGTAGGTTTCTGTGTGCTGCAGTACGGTACCAGTATGAACGCAAATGTGTGGACAAAATGCGTAATAGGTTATGAGTACAATAAAACCGCGCAGTTTTTCTAGTAAAAAAAAAAAAACAGCATGAGGGCTGTCACGCCCTCCAGACAGAGCAATTGGGGACTCTTCCACTCCACACATGTACTGGAATAACTTCATTATAATACRAAGAAGKGGATYCGGAATTCTYAGAATGATCGGCCAAGTGGTTTTTTCTTAAGAGCCCTCAGTATAACAAGGTGTGTAGAAACCTACGTACAAATTAGTACTACTAAATATTTCGATATAAAAATACTTAATGTTTTTTTTCAAAGTGAGACAGGTTCATGTTGCKAAGGCAAATGAGGTGTATTGTTCTCTCMGTAGAGCCGTGTACAATTTGTACTGACTCCGGACCTGTCACCACCTCATTTGCCTTCCAACTGGTACGTACGATGGGTGGGTGCGTGTGTACCTAGTATCTGTACCTGTACCTATCTATGTGTACGTACCTGGTACCAAATTTTTGCAACCCATTTCTCAAAACGGTCGAAGGAGTCTATCGGTACTTAAAATACGTAGGTTTTTACGTAGGCTATAACACGTCACTTAGCCCCACTCCATTTACCACCGTACTTACCTCCCCTACATGAATTCTGGTAGGAATTCTACTGTGCAACCGTATTGGCTTTTCTGCTGTGGTCGCATCYGTACCTCTTTGGGTTGCTTAAGACAGAGCAAATTACACTGAGTATGCAACAATTTTGCAACTCCCTCCCCCCGGTGGTGACTCACGAGAGGTGCATTTTTTGCTCACAAAATAACATCTTACGAGTATCGCATACGAGTACCGGTTCAAGCAAAACCCCAAGCAAGAAGACAAGCAAATACTAACTATCGAAAAACAGCTGCACAGTATCAGCAAGAATACTAACTATCGAAAAACAGCTGCATGACAGTATCGTTGTTGCACATTAGCCCMTGTTGACTCACGACGCGTTGACTCGAGACGCATTGACTCGTCACGACGCGAGAGGTGCATTCTTTGCTCACAAAATTTGCAGCCGGCAGTCCTTACAAGTAGTACCAAGCAGTCCTTGCTGCATATCAGTACCGGTTCAGAGGTGCAAATCGTCAAAGAGGAGTACTACGAGTACGAGTACTAGTACCTCTACTGGTTCAAGTAAAACCTCAATCCTCTTGCTCGCATACTACGAGTACTACGAGTACGAGTACGAGTACAAGCGCAAGCGCAAGCAACGCAGTAAGCAACACCAGGAGCAACAAAGAACCACTCCTAATGGCAAGAACACCAAGAGGAGGGACTAATCGGCGCCGTCTCCGGGCTGGGAAAAGAAGGGGGGGAACTGTAACCCCTCCACGAGACGTGAACCAGCCAGGGCAATGGGGGAGATATCATAAGGTTCTGCTTGAGTTAATGGATCATGTACATGGAAGAGTGGATGAAGGTGGAGACGATAATCGATTTCCGAATGATACTATATTCACGGATGAGCAGTTGAGTATTCTAACGCCGGATCATATTTACAAGTTCTTTGCAAAGAAAGCTTTTGGTCGGGAGGATCCAGGTGTTGATGATAATCCTACTCATGGTAGATCGACTTCTTTAGTCTACTACAAGAAGGCCATATCATACTTCATGCCAAATAAGATGCAGAAATGGACAGTTGTTGCCSGTGTTGGAAGTGGGAATCCTACCAAGTCCCAGGTAGTGAATGACCTAATCGCGGCTGTTATCAAGAAGGAAACTAGAGGACTTGGACAAGCAAGCAGCATGGATAGGCCTCTTACAAAGGATGAGTTTTTGCAAACACTAGAACTGATGTTGAATCATGGTTCCATTACCAACCGACTGAGGTTCCTTGCAATGCTTAAGTTCCAGTTCCACTTGATTGGCCGTAACGATGATATGGCTCAC